TTATCTAAATTTATTAATTATCTATGCTTTTGGACGTGTGTAAATACATTTGTAGAATGACACCAATAAACTCTATCTATCTATCTATCTATCTATAAACTGGAAGCTTTATTATCACTTAACCATAACGATTACGAAGAATATTTATGTCTCTTTAAAGATAAGTCTAAATATTTTACGTAAAAAATAATGATTTGCAACTTATTGCGTTAGACAGATTTTTTTAAGAACTGTTCTCTTATCAGTAAATGCCAAAATCAGTCTTATACATGTGAACTCTATGACTATGACGCAGTATGACATCTTAATCCTCACGGAGACCTGGCTAAAAAATGATGTGTCTAATAATGAATTATTTGAACCGAATATTTTTAATGTCTATCGTAAGGATCGTGATCTTGCGGCAACTGACACTAGTCGAGGTGGTGGAGTACTGATTGCTGCTAAAAAGCATCTTCTAACTGAAACTATTGATCCTTACTCGCTTAATTTTGGCTTTGATGAGATCAGGCATATTGACATTTTAATTGCTAGAGTTAGACTAGTGTATAAATCGGTATTTGTAATTGTCTTGTATATATACCTCCTTCTGCCGTAGTTGATGATTATGCTCGTCTTTTTGAATGTCTATCTTCCATTAACCAATTATTCAGCGCTAACTTAATTGTTATAGGTGATACAAATATCTCCCAGTTCTATAGTTTCTCCAAGATGGGAGGTCCATCAAATAACGCTATCAATGCTTGCATTAACTTTGCGGAATTTTTTAATCTTACGCAATGGAATGGTGTCCTAAATCGTGATAATCGTCTCCTTGACCTTGTGTTTTCTAATTTTCATTGTTTTGTTTCTAAGCCTGTTGAACTTTTAAGCACTGAGGATTCATATCATCCAGCGTTGTGTATCGATTTGTCCTCCTTAAAAACTAGTAAAGGTGGCAACCCTTCCGGGATTTGTGGTGGATCCCGTAATTTCAGGAAAGCTGATCTTTCCTCATTGTATGAGTCTATGTTGAATACTGACTTCTCTTTTCTTGGCGCGTGTGTTGATGTCAACAAGGTTGTTGATAACTAAAATTAGAACCCTTATTTTCTTCATTTGTACCTATTAAGAGAAAACCTTCAAGAGGTTATCCTCCTTGGTATAATGAACAAATTATTTCTAACTTAAAAATGAAGGAGAAAGCGTGGCAAAAATATAAACGAAATAAAACAACGGAATCCTATAAAATGCTTTAAAAAGCATACGCGCTACTGTAAAATTCTTGATTCGGACTTCCTACAAAGAATATTTCCAAAATATCACTTTTGATATTAAGAGAGATCCAAAAAAGTTTTGAACGTTTATTAAAAATAAATCGAATCATGCATGTATTCCAGCTAATATGTTTTACAATGATAACAAACTTTCCAACCCTCAACACATTGCTGATGCGTTTGCGCATTTTTTTGCCAGGTCTTTTCATCCTGTTAGTAGCACCTCAACGAATACGTCCATTGATAGTGATCTTGTGATTGCGTTAAATCAAAATATATTAGATGTTAGAAAAATTAACGAGTCTGAAGTGCTTACAGCGAGCAAGAAACTAAAACCGACGTTAACCGCTGGGCCCGATGAGATTCCGTCATTCTTTGTGAAAGACTGTGCCAAAATTTTAGCTCCTCCACTAACAGTTATATTCAATTTGATTTTGAGTAATTCAAAATTTCCTGACAAATGGAAGTTATCTAGGATTTTGCCTATTCATAAAAAAGGAAGCACTGCGGAAATCAGTGAATATAGGCCAATTGCTTTGATCAACAACTTTGCTAAAGTGTTTGAATTTGTAATGCATGCTCGCATCATTTTCCATGTTTCGCAGAACTTGTCACCGATGCAGCATGGTTTCATTAAAGGAAGGTCGACTGTCACAAATTTGATGATTAAGACGCAATATATCTCAGAAATGTTTGACAAACATCTTCAAGTTGATTGCATTTATTTGGATTTTAGCAAGGCTTTTGATCGCATTGATCATCGTATTCTACTACATAAACTGGAGAGTTTTGGATTTTCCGACGGTTTGCTTAGTGTCTTTAAATCTTATCTAAGCAATAGATATCAGTATGTATTTTGTAACAGTTGCTCCTCACGTCAGTTTCCACAGACATCTAGTGTACCGCAGGGCTCGGTCTTGGGACCATTGTTGTTTATAATGTATATCAATGACATTATAGATGTTTTGGACATTCCTTCCTTGCTTTATGCAGATGATTTGAAAATCTTTTTTCGCGTACAGTCATCTTTGGATTGTATTCGTCTGCAAGACAGCTTGAATCGTGTGTTGCTATGGTCGAAAAAAACAATTTGCTGTTAAACGCCGATAAATGCATCGTCAAGTCATATTCGATTAAACTTTCAAATGTTGTATACAACTACGCCTTGGATCAAAGAGTCCTGCAACGCATTGATTATGTATGTGACTTGGGTGTCACATATGATGCTGAATTAAGTTTCCACAAGCACTATGAGGTTATCTCGATATCGGCGCATAAATCATTAGGGTTTGTTGTTCGCAACGCGGCGGAATTTAAAGACCTTCTCTTTTTTTATCATACGTCAGATCCGTCTTGGAGTATGCGTCGGTGGTATGGAGCCCTTTTTATCAAACCTACATTTCTCTGTTGGAAAAAACGCAGCGTCGATTCTTAAAATTCTTGTCTTATATCTGGGATGGTGTTTACCCTACAAGAGGAATTCCAAATGATATACTGTTACGTAGATTTGGCTATCAGAGTTTGGTCTGCAGGCGAAAAGCATCTTCTATCTTAATGTTACATAATATTTTAAATTATCATATCAAATGTGAAGATCTTCTTAAGATCCTAAAGCTACGTGTGCTAAAACCAGGTTTAAGATCATATTCTTTGTTGCATATGCCTGTCCCAAGAACAAACATATTGAAATCGTCTCCGGTTTATCAAATGCTTCAAAACTATAGAGAGGTGGAATCGAAAATTGATATATTTAGTACGTCGCCAGCAAAAATTAAGCAGTTTTTCAGTGTCTAACTCTATATTAATACAGTAGTTTTTGCCTTAATTTTCTAGTTTTTATTCCTCAGTAATTGGGCTCTCAGCCTGTTGAGGGATTACTAATAATAATAATAATAATAATCCAAAATCGTGGATTGAAAGATTCTCATTACCAAGACAGAATGGAGGAAGGGGTTTCCAGAACCTAGAAAACTTATATCAGAGACAAATCTCAGATTTGAAGAAGTATTTCTTGAAACGAGCGGAAAGAAATGAAATGTTTCGCACCATCACAAGAGAAGATTTGAACCACACACCCTTAAATCTGTCGAACACCGAAGAAATCCACACACCCCACACAATAGACAAAATAATAAATGGGCTAAAACAAAAACAACTACATGGAAAATTCTACAAAGACTTAGAAGAAACTCACGTCAATAAGAAGATGTCATTGATTTGGTTAAAAAAATCAAAATTGTATGCCGAAACAGAAGGATTTGTGTTTGCTATTCAAGACCAAGTAATCAATACCAAGAATTACAGAAAATACATCATCAAAGATCCGAACATAAGAAACGACTGCTGTCGCCTCTGCAAAGCAAAACCTGAAACGATCCAGCACATAATCTCTTCCTGTAGCATCCTAGCACAAACTGACTACAAAGCTAGACACGACAACGCCGCCAAAATCATCCACAAAGAATTAGCAACACTTATGAACTTAATCGAAGATACGACACCCTATTACACTTACATTCCATCTCCGTTCCTTGAAAATAACAAATACAAATTATACTGGGATCGCACAATACTTACAGACTTAAACATTACAGCTAACAGACCAGACATCATACTTATCAAAAAACACACGAACGAAGCCATTCTCATTGACATTGCTATTCCTAACACAAACAACATTATTCAAACATACGACACCAAGATTTCAAAATATCTACAATTATTACCGATAGAAATGAAATCCATGTTGAATCTTAAAAAAATTTCAATTCTACCCCTAGTTATCTCTAACGTAGGTGTAGTTCCAAATAGCTTAGTTGAGAATTTAAAGTCTTTGCATTTGAATGATTCAATAATTGTCAAAATTCAAAAAGCTGTTTTGTTAGGAACATGTCATATTGTTCGTAAGTTTCTTGAACAGTCTGATCATGTCAGTCAGATTAGATTAGCACCAGTAGGTCAGAGTAGTGTAGGTCACTTTTCATGTGATGCGCGGATAAATGGTCGGTAGTTACGCTAGACTTTTGGGGATGGGGTGAGATTAGAGAATAATAGCAGACTAATTTGTATGCTGTAATTCTGGAATCTCGAAAGTTGTTCTGTTAATCTAATCAATGCATATCATTACTTGGTCTTAGTACCCGTAATAATAGAAGTCTTGCCTGAATGCCGGTCATTTCCGGGTCAGTAGTGGGTCTTAATAATAGTAAAGTGGTGTAAAGACAATAATGTTCAAACTGCAACTGAAGATAGTATGCTAGTATATTTTGACGAACTGTGCAAAGTGTATAAACCGTCATCGCTCTGGTCAAAGTACTCAATGATCCGAGCCAATTTGGTAGCAAAAGAAAACATTGATATAAGTCAATTCAAAAAATTATTTGCCTTTCTGAAGCGACAGAGTGAAGGATATAAACCTAAGAAATGCAAAATACTTACCAGGGAAGAAATTATTAAATTCTTTGTGGAAGCTCCGGACGAAAATTTTTTGATGATAAAAATGAGCAAAAAGTCAAATTTTTGAGATTTATTGTATTTTTACAATTGCAGGTAGCTGTAATTTTTGGTATTGCTGGGGCATGCCAGAGGGAAGAATTATGTCAAATGACCCTTGATGATATTGACGATGTAGGATCCGCCCTAATTGTGAAAGTTAGAAACACGAAGAACAAAATTGATAGAATATTTACTGTTCTGAATAATGCAGAAATAACAGTGAATTTTCTACAATTGTTTAGAAAATACCTGTCTCTGAGGCCGTCACATACGAAACACCGTCGACTCTTCGTTTTTTATAAAAGTGGGAAATGTACGTCCCAAGTTGTTGGCAAAAATATTCTGGGCCAGATTCCCAAAAAAGTAGCAACATTTTTGAAATTACCAGATACGTGCATCTACACCGGACACTGTCTTCGTCGATCGTCCGCCACCCTTTTGGCTAATGAAGGTGCAGACTTGATAAATATAAAACGCCATGGAGGATGGAAGTCGTCAGTGGTAGCCGAGTCTTACATTGAAGATTCTTTAAACAATAAAATGAAAATAGCGAAACAGGTGTTGATACGCGGAGATGCTGTCGTCCCTTCAACCAGTAAAGGGTCTTCCAGCAATGAATTTGTCAACAGCATTCCTTGTGGCGTCAATATTAACAACTGCAACGAATGTAAAATAGATATAACTGTCCATGTTAATAAATAAATAACAAATTCTCATTTCGATTTTTTTTATAAATGAAAATTTTGTCAGCGGGCAATAATCGACTCATTATCGCCCGAGGGCCGAAAAGACTAAGTTTACGCCCGCGAATTAGGTCCAAAATTAATTTATTATTGGTCGATCGTACATAAAACTATTTTATTTTACGCGGAGAAAAATATTCAAGGGACTGAAGGTCGAATCGAAAAACACTCTGTAGAAACAAGACAAATTTATTCCTAAACCTTTTTTCCATATCATAGCCCAACTACTTTTATCACCAAGTTATATTCAGTTGTCTTAACAAAAATTGATTATGTACATTTATTTGTGAACGCATCTGAAAATAATCTAGATCCATCGTTTTAGAGATTAAATTAAAAAATAAATTTGGAGTAACACCATCGACATTATTGGTGGATTTTGAAAAAAAAAAAACACTTTCGAGCAACGAGTGGCCTAAAATTTTATAGATTTCGAATATATGAAACGTTTTGGTAACTTAGATAATGAAACATACCTGGTATTAATAAAAATTCCGATAAAAATTTGATACCACTGGCTCACTTCGTTAGAGCATAGAATTCAAACCACTGAGTTATTACGGTCAAATAACCTGTTCTTATTCTTAAATTTGACCAATTTAAAAAAGCAACAGGTAAAACCAGTTCTTTGCAAAACAAGACAAAACAATCTACGCTCAGAGCGAAATGCGAAGTTTTACCTATGGTGAATTATTAAAACTAAGTAATAAGTACTGGTAGTCTAGTGTAGGGTCAATTTATAAACCTTACATATATAAATACATACTTTCTATAAACTTACCTTTTATTTCTTAAAACGCCTTAAATTTCGTCTCAGTTCTTCCTTCTTTTGTGTTTAAAAAATATTAGATCATTAAAACCCGCAGATTCTTCACAATAGACTTTTTAGTACTTAACATTACTAAAGCTTTGTCGCGTATAATTTATACGTGTTTCCGCGGAAGTACCGCTTAATGTCTTTACATTTTTCTTTTGTGATCAAGATATTCACTTTCGGAAAAAGGAGGCCTTTATTTTTAAATTCTAATCGTTTCTAAAAGTTTAACTTATTTTCAGCTTTGAAATGTAGTATTTTTTTAATTACCGATGACATTTCAAGATCGTAAGTAGTGCAATGTGCGATGTATAACAGAGAACTTGTCCGTCACATAGTGCAGACTATTGAGTATTTAGTTGTTTGTTATCGTGTTGCTGAACCCAATTCGTTTACCTTCGGTAAAACGTGGTCGTTGACCACGTTGCCCTTATGGGGCTGTATTTAACTGTGTCTGCCTTAAGCAAATTTTGCTATAAGTTTATTTCGCTCCCACTCAAAAGTCAGTATTTAAATTGACCCAAAGAACTGCGATCCCGCGAATGAGAATTGTTATCTTGTTGTTGAATTTTTGTTCATGTCAAGGTACAATATACAGGCTAATGATAAAGTAATGCACAAAATTATAATAATAATAATATTCCACAAAACTGGAAGCGCTTTTATTTCCACAAAGAAGTACATAGACAGTATACTAAAACTAATCACTTTGGTGGAAAACAAAATTTAAATTTAAAATCAATCACATAGACAACTCTATTGGAAAATTATGGATGACACAAATATTACACTCTACTTTCACTAGCAAGTACCAGAAGACATAATCAGGTTTAAAAAAATTAGTAAAAACGGAACCTAAAAAATTAAAAACTAATTTGAATAAGTTGGTTATTAGACTACTTTCAATTGGTTTTTATTATGCAAATGGAATACAGAGAACGGTCAAAATAAATTTCATTTGATTCTGGTTACAATTTCGCCAATATTCGACATTACTTATATTTTTATTTTACGATTCTGCTTGGCCTTCGTCACGATTGCTATCTCAGTTGTGCATTTTCCCCAAATCCAAGTTCTCTATACTTAAAATAAATGAAAATACGTCTAAATAGAATATACAATTTTATTTTGTACAAAATCCAAGTACTACTAAACAGATCATTATTATTCTGTTTTTTAGTTTCCCCTCTTTTCCACGGCTACCTTATATCCATCTTTCGATTTTCCCACAAAATGAAACTCCACTTCAATTTCTTCGATCGATTTATACTTCCCTGGTTTTATTTTAAACCGCCTTAAAATGGTGGAGAGTATCGCTTTCATGGACATCATTCCATATTTTAGACCTAGTCAAAACAAATTATTACATATTACTATTTCTTTATATGATTATACAATCTAACCAATGCAGTTACGATGACCGTAACTAAATGGTAAATATGCAGCACGAGGTCTCTTTTCAATTTCTTCAGGCAGAAATCTATCTGGATCAAATTTTAAGGGATTGGGCCAAAATTCCGGATATTTGTGAACGTACCATACTGGAATGAGTGCCGCACTGCCTGCTGGGTATACATGAGAATCTAAAACACAATAATCATATTTTTTACGCTGTTATTAACTAATTTACTTAATTCGGTTGTTTCCTCTATATCTCTAGCTAGATAAGGCGCAGGAGGTAAAAACCTCATAGTTTCTTTTATGACGCGTTCCAAGTAATTCATCTGGTTAATATCATCTAAAGTTGCATCCTTGTCAATATCCGCAAATATACTACACTGTTCTTCATAAATTGTTTCCTAAAAACAGAGTGATATTTGGATTTTTTTTTATTTTATTCTACCTGAATTTCTGGATAGATGCTCAATACGAGCAAAACTGAAGATATCGTGAGAGCTGTCGTTTCGCTGCCAGCCATAAACATGAAAGTAGTTTCTTCTAGAACTTCTTTTGCTGTCAGTTCTTTAGTTAACAGGTGATTCAAAAAGGCCTTTTCTTTAAGATTGTCATCTATAGATAAAAAATTCTCATGAGTAAAGTAGGTGAAGGCGTGTACAATAATTTAAACTTACTATTGTTACACACTTCAGCATCTATAACACTACTGCTTTCGATGGACAAAAACTTTGTTTTCATGTGAAGATCAATTAGCTACAAAAATTGATGTTTTTTCGAAGTTTAGAAACTAATAAGAGTGTTGTTACCTGTTTAATGTGGTCGAACATGTCATTTACAATTTGCGTGACTTCCTTGTGCAAGACACTCAGTTTCCAGAAAAAGGTAAAGTGGTAAATTACATTGAAGAACCTCTCAGTAAGCAGTCGTTCATATCTGAAAATTAAATACAATATACAACTTAAAGATATTTGTAAAACCATATACAGGTTATGGGAACATAGATCATTTTTAGTAGATGCTTATTACTGATTTCAGATGTAGAAGACTTCTTAAAAATTTCGTCATCAAACTTGATGTAGTGGGTATAATCAGAGAACTTACGCTCGGGAAATAAAAAGTAAACTTAAGGTTGTTTTACTCGTTCAAGATTTTTCAAGCTGTGAGGTTTTCAATATCATGATAATTAAGTTTCTCAATTCAATTCTTAAATACGATTCAATATTTGATGTAATTTTCGCGCATACCTTAATATCATACATACGAACTTATCGTTTCCCTTCCTCAGCAGTTTTGGGTCAACGTTGGCTAAAGTTTCTAAAAATACATATTTTTGTTAAATGAATTTTCCGTTCAACTCATGTTACCGAACAATGTATCTAAAGTACATCGCCACACCATGGTCAACACGTCAACGGAACCTTTACCACAATTTTGTTCGAACCCTTCATTTAATACGTTTGCATACTTAACAAAAATACCGGTAAAGGAATTAATGATCTGCTGGTTGAAACTGGGATTGATCATTTTCCTGTGAATTTTCCAAACGCTTACTAAAATGTTAAATAAATATTACATCTTAAATTTTTTTTTTAACACCGACCCCTTGAAGTGAACAGAGAGCTGAGATTTTCTTCGTTAAAATCGTAAAGTAAAATATTTTCTTTACTTAAGAAGTTATTCAGTAGTTTGTCAATGTCGTTAGGACGTGAAGTCACAACATATAATTGATTACCAATCCACACCCTCCACACAAGTGGGCACGTTTTTACCAAATTTTCAAAAAGGGGGAAAATGTCTAAAACAGTAGTCCCAAGTTTAGAATGCAAATGGTACAAAAAATACAGTACTTACTTTTTTGCCCAGCAAACGCTACCCTTACAGTTCCCAGAAATGGTAAGGAAAATGGTCCTGGCAATATTGATGAATAATAATAAAGCCAACGTTTCTTCCAAAAGTAGACAACCACCAGTAGTAAACACAACAAAATTAATGATAACTTAAAAATCGTAGAAACACTGATGGACGAAGATTTTTTTAAATAATCCATGTTTATAACTGCAGTTGTAACTAGAGAATGAAACCTAACGAAAGATTTCGAGTATTAATTAATTTTTTGTGTCCACACAGTTCATAAGCGCTGTTGCAATCTACCAGAAGAGTGATGAAAGTGATGAAACTAAAAACAATGTACAAAAAAATATTTTAACTATTTTAGAATCCAAATGGTCATGGTAGTGTCACCATATTTTTATTCTTATGCTATGCCTTGATTACTGAAGATATTAGTAACGTTTATTGTGTTCTTTGATGTTCTTTATTTTTACCGCTGTTGAGAACTTAACCCAGATTAGGTGAATTTCCCAATAGATCCCGTTTCTGGCTTGAGGGTATTAAGAAATAATGTCTGACTTGTAAACAAAATGCATTTATTTTCATTACATAACTAAAGACAAAAATTGTAGTAACCTTTTCTTAAACGTTAAACTAATGAAAATACTAATAAGAAGAACACTTAATTAGCTCACCGCTGCATATTTTAAGGAAAAATTGGTCTCCTATACTAACTTTTAGACTCTTTAATGAATGAGCTTTCTCTGTTAATGGGTATCTACTTCCCGTTGGCATCTGACTTTCATTATTTCATCTTGCGTAGTTATATAATGCATAATCGTAATGGGTAATCGGTAACTGAAGTTCTAAGAAAGAATCACGTTTGCATCAAATTTTAATTATCATAAATATGTTTGTTTTTTTTTAGTTCTGAGTGTAATTATTTGTATTATAAGTAAAGAAAAGTGGTTCGTTTACGTGTAACAGGTACTTTTTTCTGATACTTCAGTATGAATAAATTTATGTTGTATGAGAAATTAAGTCGTGAGTAAGAAATTTTGTAGGTTGATACTGGCTACCATTTTTTTTTTCTGAAAGTCACTGAGTGAACAAAATTTTATAAAAATTAATGAAAATCAGCCTAATTCCGAAATTATTGCAGTAGCTCTCGAAACTATTTCTCCCTTGTGTTCCAGAAAATCATGCGACAAATAACTAAAAGCTTATGATGCGTTTACTACTTCGGGATTTTCAAATATAATATAACAAATAGTCTGATTTTTTCCGACAAAATTTGTGACACAAGTTACTGAGTAGCGGTTGCGACGAAAATCACACAAGTCGACGAAGGAGACAAGTGTGATTTTCCAAAAGCAGTTAATGTTATGGGAAGCTTCAGGTCATGCAGAAAGAATTTTCAAAATTCAAAAAACCTGCTTAGAAACCTTATCAACAGCCAATGTCCATCTTTTCTTTTACCTTCGCCGTTATTATACAGGTGTCCCAATTAAAATTCCGCCTCCTTGTATCTTGTATCTTGAGGAGGAACATAGATATTGAAATTCTGTAAACGCCATCATTTTTTGCTTAATTTGATACATTGTAAATATGACGCACATATGACGTCGATTTCACGACGTAAGCCTACTGTTTTTTTAATTGCAATGTATATTTTTTCAACGGATTTGATAAACCATTAAACTTCGATTACAATAAAATACAACATGTCTTTCATTTTCAATTGATAAAAAAAATAAAATTTATCAAGATAAAAAAAAAATGAAATTTGACTGAAATAAAGCATTCAAAGTTTATTCTACGAGTATAACCAGCAAGATCTGTTTTTTAGCATATGTTCGCACTGTTGATAGTTCTTTATTTCACTCAATTTTTGCTTTTTAAGTTTATAAATTTTATTTTTGTATCCACTGAAAATGAAATAAATATCCAGGGGTTGTACATTATTGTAATCATTATTTAACAATCTATCAAAATCCTTAAGGCTGGCGTCTGGTTCGGTTTAGCCCTATACTAAATACATTGAAAACATCGTCGCGGTTTCCGGAGTTGCATTTTAAAAATATGAGATATATCGCTTTAAAAAAATTATATTTCGAATTAACAAACTTCAGTCCAGGGGACCTCCATATTTATATTCATATCTAGTATGCAGTTTTTACAAAAAAAAAAAAAATATAAAGTTGAACAACTTTTACATCACATTTTAACCGGTACATTGATGCATTTTTTGACGAAGTGCTGAAGTTTTTTGCATTCTGAGATAGGAGGTCCCCTGGGGAAAAGTGTCAGCTTTCTTTTGATACCATTTATAATATTAAAAAATCCACGACTGAGGTAAATAACTCGCGAAAAGTCAAAATCTATTGAAACGAGAAATCGGCATTAAACGAGCTGTGATGCGGTAGCAGAATGCAGGTTTACTTAGATTCTGACTTGGTTGGAGATTTCAGTATTTTAAAAATGCAATTCCAGAAACTACGACGATGTTTTCAATGTATTTAGTATTGGGCGAAACCGAACCAGACGCCACCCTTAAAAAATATATACGTTGCATCTTGAAAAATTATAGATATACGTCGCGACGTCGACGCCCTATATGCGTTATATTTGCACTGCACTAAATTAGCCCCTTCGAGCTAAAAATAATGGCATTTACAAAATTTTAATACCTCTATCCGTTCTCGAGATATACTTGACATAAAAAGAAAAAATTCTCCAAAATCGTCAAGAATCTTCAAGTGTCACATTTTCTAATGTTAATAACTGTACTTTTAATATTTATCTTTATAAATAAATTCCTTGTCTCGTTGCTATAAAGAAATGTGTATAATTTCTTTATTGTCCGCTGAAAAAAATTTAGCCCATTTCCTCTAGGTATCTGAAAAACTATAAGCATACGGAATTCCTATCTTGGTAAGTTCGTAAATATTTTTTACTCCTAGTTAAGACATGTACCATATCGTGTCTTTATCTACTTTCAGTACAATGTCTTAGAATTTGCGACACGAATATTCCTGAAATTTTGGAAAAACACAAGATTATTATAATTTGTTCCCTTACTAGTTAGTAAGTTAATGATGCCATCGTAAAAAGTACGAATTTACTGTTTGTTATTAAAAAATATGCTACGAGATGCAACTGTCTTCAGGATTGAGTAATACATGGTTAAAAAAATAATTCATTAATGAATTACTTTCATTGACTAAATCAAAAATGGTTTATCTAATTTTTCCAAAATTCTCAAAATATATATGTTCATATCAAATTATGTAGATCATTTTTAATGGAGATTTTTATAAAACTGAAAGTTGTGAAAACCTGTCCACTTTCTTTTTTTATTTTGAACCAAGAATTGTAATTTATTAAATTTGTAATCCAGTAAATCTATATTATAAAAAGAAAACAAAAATGACATTTCAAACTGAGTATAAACTACGGATCATGAGAGAAGTAAAATAAACACGTTTTATTTCTACACTCTTTCAAATCAAACTTGCCAAAGGCAATAAGTAAACTTGACCCAATGAATAGTAAAATGAAATGAAAGCCGCATTTAATGCATTTATTTTCTCCTTAGATTATTATCGAAAATACATATTTTAAAAATCGTAATTCAGTATTGACTTAAAATAGGCACCAGGATTGTGAAAGAGATGTTAGGTCGCGTGTACACTACCGGCAATTCCACCGGTCGACTGTTTACCAGCCGGTAATAAAATCGCATACATTGCCGGTAGCGGATGCTTGTTTGTACTAAAAAAGAATTTGCTAACAAAACTAGTCACTATATTTAATTTTATGCCCATCCTAATATATTTAAATGTATTTTGCCGGTTTTTTCACCGGCAAGTGGAATTGTAGGTAGCGTTCAAGGGTCTTTACGGTCCATTATGTGTGAGTGTTATGTTAACTGTTTTTTGGGAGAAGAAACATTGCTAACGAAAAGTTCGGTTGTGGTGGTTTCCACAAATATGCAACCCACTTAACGACAACCTGTCAGCTCAAGACAAGACAACCCCCTGCTGTTAATCCGCTTAGTATTACAATCAGGCGGTCGTTTTGTGTTATTTTAGCTGCATTGCCCCAACATTATTATGAAGATACAGAAATTTCAAACCACATGAAAAATTTCTACCGTGGAAAACAAAATTGAGCTGCTAAAGCGTTTTATTCAAATTATCACTTCTAATTTTTTTATCTTTTTTTCTAATCATTTTTAAAAATACGATTAAAAAAGTTGGCTTCTTTATTTAAAAAAAAAGTAATCGAATGTTTCCAAATTTCGCCGATTACCTATTTTATTCACGCAGTTATTTCCAAAAAATTTCGATCAGACATTTTGTGACATTTTAAAAAACCCATTAAGTATAGTGACAAATATGTCTGTACAAAATATGTATCTGTAACAAATCAATCAGAACGAAGAGTTTACAAGTATTCGTCTAGAAAAACGGCTTCCAAGGGAATTTCAGTTTCCACTTTCATTGGTGCACAAATTAGCTTGAGTCATATGCAGGTGTCATGCCAAAAAATTTTTGGCATTTGTCACGTCAGTTTTGTAATAATAGAAATCAATAGATCCACACAAAAGGAAACACAAGAAATTGACAAAATTACCAACAATACGATTCCTTGAATTGGGTTATTCTAAAATCATGAAGTTCTAACATGAGAAAAATTAATCCGACAGGATACAAAGCAGGAGTAGTGAATATAATAATAACAATGACATTAATTTTCAACTAATTGAGGTCTGTGTATTTTTTATAATTATTATAGGAAAATAAAGAAATATGTGATAAGAAGCTTCAACAATTTGCTATTTAGATCTCTGGAGACATTTTACGAATTTCCAACCCTAACCCGTCACAAAGTCAAATTTTTCAGTGAAATGTTTGCGCTTAGAAGACCACTATTTTCAAGCCGTTTTTAATCTTCTGTAGCGAAAAGTATGAAAAAACATTGCGTCGTTCCAGACGTAGTTGATGTGGCACCGGAAGTTGTTGCCGAGGTGTCTTACCCCAGTGGAGTCAAGGTTGACCTTGGTAATGAGTTGACACCGACGCAAGTGAAGGATATACAGTCTGTGAAATGGAACGCTAATAATAACGCCCTGTACACCCTTTGCATGACTGACCCGGATGCTCCCAGCCGCCAGGACCCCAAGTTTAGAGAATGGCACCATTGGCTAGTCAGGAACATCCCTGGAGGCAATGTTGACCAAGGCGAGATCCTTTCTGCTTATGTTGGTTCAGGACTCCCGAAGGGTACAGGGTGGCATCGCTACATCTTCCCGATTTACAAGCAAAATGGAAAAATAAACTTTGAGGAGAAGCGTTTGCCTAACAATTCTGGAGATGGTCGTGGCGGTTTCTCTATCAGAAAATTCGCTGGCAAATACAAGCTAGAGCAGCCAATTGCTGGTAATCTGTACCAAGCTCGGTGGGATGATTATGTCCCTCTTTTGTACAAACAATTGGGAGGTTAAACTTGCGTATAAACTGATGTTTCCATGTTTTTGATTTGATGTTTTGTTCAGTTTTGAGTTTTCCGAATAAATTGCTTCGTTCTTACAAATTACACGTGGACTTATTCAGGATAAAAAATAACTAAAAGCATAGGTAATTGCGCATTTTTTAAAGGTAATCTTAAAAATCGATTATCACTTATGATACTGTAATAACCCAAACATTCCGCCAAAATTGAGACATGCGCACAAAATTTGAAAACCCGCGAATAGTCAAGACGAAGTGGCCATGAACTGTGATCGTCATCAAGTGGAGGAACCCTGCGTTGTGTTTTGAAATGGCGAAATGCGTTCTGATGCAAGTGGTGAACCGCAAAGGTGGAAGAGTGACCTTCAAATTAACAACACAAAAGTATGCCGGAAATAATTTTATTAAGTTCTTTTCTTTTGTCGTTTCTTTTTTTTGTTCATTTTCCAGTTACAAAAATCTCGTTCTTAAAAGTATACAGTGCTCTAGTTGGTAAATTCAATTCTAAGGGAAATGGAAAGCTATGACCAAATCATTATGGTGGCAAATTTTGATTATTTAAAACGATTTAACTACCATCGAACTATTTCTTTGCACTACCACAGATACGTACAACCAAGCAGCGATGCCCCCACAAACGACACGCTATCTTCATGCTGTGTTCGCTAGTGCCTGAGGCAGCTGCTTCAAGTATTATCCCGTAACTATACTCCATCCACCGCGTGACACACGACACTGGCTACCCCCAGTAAAGTTTCCTTTACCAGTGGGCCACCCTCCGCATATCTCGTGTTGGCGGCATCGAGTATGCGAATAAACAGTCATATTAAGTACAGGAAAAATTTGTCCATCTTGATTTGCCCCGAACTTGTCAACCGAATTCAATTAAACAAAATTAATGAAATAAGAATCATCAAAACATAACTCTCTAACTCAAAGACTAAATTGCCAAAATAATCCAGGAAGTCTTACTGAAGGAATTAAAAAAGACAACATCAATTATAAGTCCTAAATATTTCATGTCTGATAAGTGATGACACAAATATTTATTTTGATGCATGTACCCATGGACCAAAATCATGGGTAATTCTCCACAACGACTATTATGCACTTGGCACATAAAAAAAATCGAACGATACAATCAGAAGCCAAAATTTCAAATAAAGAGGTGTGCAATAAGCTTCAAAAAGACTTAGACAAATTACTAAAGGAGGTTGAAGGAAAAGAATTTTTAAGACTAACAGAAGAACTTTTTGATTACTTAAGGCAACAAAATGAAGAAGCATTTTTAAATTACTTACAAAAATATTACTTTCAAGATAAGACAAGAATTGGTTCATGGGCCCATTGTTATAGATTGCATGCTGGAATTAATACAAACATGCATTTGGAAGCCTTTCATGAAACACTGAAATATAATTACTTCTGTAGGAAAATAGCGAGAAGATTAGAAACTTGCCTGAACATGTTGGACAGACTTTTAAAAGACAAGTCATGGAAACGTGTTGCATCAATTCTCCGCCCAACTGCATCTCATAAACATTTAGTTGTTAATAAAGCTCATAGGACAGCGATGTCGATGAGTTTTAAATCAATAGCAAAAAGTGATTCTAAAACATATTTAGTGCATTCATAAAACAAAATCGATTTGTATGAAGTAAAACTCAGCAACCCTTCATGTGACTGTCAAAGGCTTCGTTGTCCCTTTTGCAAGAGGATATTCATAATGAAAGTATTTTAAAAGACACACTTCTAAATAAAAAAACATGAACCTTTTAAAGAATATTTTTCATTCAATATATTCTTCTATGTTAAATTATTATTATGTATTATGTTAAATTTTAACTTATTAAATTGTATTCCCTCTGTCCGAAAATATGGTATACATTTTACAAAATTATTATAATTAACGAATGGTGACCAGCAAACTATAATCAAGTAATTTTGTTTGCAACTTGTATAATAATGGAACATCATATAAATAGTGGACTAAGATCTACGTGCGTTTCTGTTAAAAAAGTGACCAAGAAAATTACTACAATAACATCAAAATAAATCGACACAAGAATAATTAAATTAAATAAATTATTTATTATAATAGATAATAATCTATTATAATAATCTAATTTATTTATTTATTTTTATTTATTTAATTTTAAGTATACAATTCTTCATCTTAATAAATTCGTCGTGGGGGAAGGTTACCAACGAGATTGCTATGTTCTCCAGAGGCTCTAAATAAAGTCCCACTGCATATACGTTGAAATGTATTGTCTTTATAATAGTATTATTAAATAAAGTTACAAATGTATACCATATTTTCGGACGTAAAATTAAATTTTGTTGTCAACAACTCGACACGATGTTCCCCTGACTTATCCGCAACCTTGAGCCTTGAAGTGATAAAATCTACCTACACCAGTCTGAAACTCATATCAGAGAACATCTGATATCTTTGCCGGTCTGGCGACGTTCCTTCGGTCTCTAGTCTCCACTCTGCTGGAAATACGTCAAGATACGAATTCGACGACGATACCCGAACTAAGTTGAATCTTTCTGTGTACGCTTTGACTACCGGTCACCTTGCCCCCTGAAATTGTTTACGTCCCTCAGAATACACAGATGTCACAGTCCGAGAAACGAATGAATGGCTTGACTAAAAACTCCTCTACTTATTAGTTAGAATTAGATAATTTAATGCAAATATAACATTTTTTGATGTAGTGTTTTCTTTGTTCGGATAAACCAGGCCAGTAAACTGTGTTTTCACTCCACTTAATACATTTTTGGATGCCAAAATGACCCGAATGAATTTTGTTCAGAATTTCGTTTCTTAGAGACTTGGAAATAATAAGCTGTTGCCCCATGAAGCTAAGCAAAGAAAAATGTTGCTGCCTTGGTGGGAATCGAACCACATGCCACCTGCTTACCGGGCAGGTATCCTGACCACTAGACCACGAGGATGCCTATATTTCTCCGCTTACCAACGTATTATTGTGCCGCCACAACCCATGTACAACAAAGCCTTTTTTGAGTAATTTCAGATATTAATTTACAGTAAGGCTTTAAATTTATTCTTTTCACATTATTAAGCCAACTATTTATTAGAAATTGTTTTATTAATTTAAGATCTTCATCTTTCTTTGTTTCGTTAATGATTTTTCGTAATTTTTCACTTGTCACTGAAATATTTTTTTCGATTAAGCAGACTTGAGACTCCAAGACTAAATCATGTTTATATTTAATTTTTGAATTGCTGTAGGAAAGACCGTCAGCTATTATTAATTCTTTGCCTAGATGATACGTCAAATTTATATCATATTTCTGTGAAGTTAATACCATTTTTTGCAAACGAGCCGGACAAGAATTTAAAGGTTTATTGAAAGTTGGAACCAATGGCTTGTGATGGGTTTCAGCTGTGAATTTTGGTCCATATACTGATAAAATTTGATTACGCCAAAACAAATGGCCAAGAGTTTTTTTTCGATCTGGGCATAATTTTGTTGAGTAGCTCTGGAAGCATATGGACATGGGCGATTATTTTGAATTTACAAAATTTTGAGATAAATTTACAAAAAACCACAGATATACAGTTAGTCATTTTTAAGGCAATTGTATTATAATAGTAATAAATTGTTCAATTCTCATTGGTCTTCTAAAATTTCTAAACCATTTGTAAGGATATCTTAAATGCCCCACTCTTTCTTTATCTTCGTGAATTTAAATAATTTAAAGTTCACCTTGTCAGTATATAATTCTAGATGTACCTATTAAACACGGAAATGTAAAAGGAGATTTTTTTGTGCTAGTTGAAAGTTCACCAAATGTTTAACAAGTTTGTTCAACTTTTATCATAACATAGGGTTTACCTGTCTTTCTCTCAGTGTAAAAACATATTTTGTCAATTTTAAAAAATTCAGCAAAAAGCATGAAAACAAAATTGGCTCACGAATACAAGGTCAAATGCGACATTTGTACAAACTCCGTAGTGTTTTTTCAGTGCATTTTAATACAAATGTAGTACTTCTATGACAAAATAAAAAAAAAACCGGACAAACTCTATAATTAACGAAAACACAATTTTTAACAAAATCACCAGCCTAAAATTACAAATGCACTCATTTTTTAAATCCTTTCTTCCCAGAGTTAACTGATGAGGTCCCCGCCTCAATGTCATCTCCACTTTTTAGACTAATTCGTACGCAAGGCTCTTTTCCTTTTCTTGCACGAACATATGCTTTCAGATTTCGCTCCTTCTCCTTGTTCTCCTTTATCAAGTCCTCTAGATCTTGATGTATTTGGACCGAGAAATAATTGAAAAAGAAGAGGAACACTACAACAGTAAAAGCTTCACGCTTAGGAGAATGCCACTTCACTAAGTTACCTGCCAGGACCCCGGTCATGCTGTGCAGTAGCAAGGGATACGTTAGATAATCAAACTTACCCATGGTGCAAACGACTGAAATAATTTCTAATAGCACATAGCAGAAATAGTGCAAACTTATGAACCACTTGTATCTGTAGCCCTGGAATTCTGTTAGAACATCTGTAGATTGCGTTGTAGAACTTACTTTGAGCACGTAGTACGTGATGTAAACCACATGACCCACGATCAAGGTATTGCAGGAAGCACCCATTATCAAGGATATAAATAAATGTGTGACGACGACAGTCTTTCCTTCATCTGAATGTGCTTGTTGATCTAAATACATTTCGTACAAACTAAGGGTAATCACTAAAGCGGAGGTACCCTGAAACGTTCTTATTTGGAATGTGTATTAAAGCACCGTTTACTCACCAAAGAGAGTACTACGAAAACGATGAATACCCCTCTGAGTATTTTAGACATGACAGACAGGCATATCGTTGATGACAGTTCAAAATTGACAGTGTCAATAGAAAAAGACAGTAATTAAAGAATATAGAGCTATATTTTACTTATTTAAATGTGTGAAATATGTCAGCAGTGGTCTTCTGCAAACCACCGGAGGTACTAGGACCTTGGTTATCAGTATCGCGAAGACTGATCGTCACGCATCGTTGTCTCATCTTCACAGTACGTTGATATTTTTTCCGAGTCACTCGGTCGAAGTCAGTGCCAACTGTTGCAGCAATTAGTTCTTCAACTTCATTAAAAATTTGTTCAGCAGCCAAAGTGATGATAAAGAGAAAAACTACAAATTACAACCCAGTCAACGTTTTCCTTTGAGACGATTTACCTGCTAATATAAACACCAAGATGGCAAGTAAATTCGAATAGTTGAGATAATCGTACTCCGTGACGATAATAACCGCTGATATCAGTTCACTTAAGACGTACAAAAAGTAGTTGCAACCCATATACCAAGTATATCGTAGTCCCTGAAAAGAACATATACGAACTTGATTATTGTTCTAGTAGTACTTACACGTAATGCGTAGATGGACATATAAACTATGTTGGCAAAAATTGATATATTTACTATGGAAAACATCGAAATAGCTGCCACTCTGTGAGGAGAATAGTATGTTTGGTTGTGTTGAATACGGTACTTCACATCAGCATAAACGTCCAAAGCTCCAACGCAAATTATTAAAGCGCAAATTGTCTGCAATTTGAAGTCAGTTGCAACTAAATTTTGAAGAAGATTTTTCTCACCAGGGACGTTACTGCGATTACGAATAATATTATTTTGTACTTGATTAGAGCTAACATTTTAATAAGTGATGACAGTGACACTTACACACGTCAGAATTAATTATTGCTGGCGCTTAAATAAGGTTACAATAAAGTCTGCCGAATTGCATTTATTTTTGATGTAGCTATTCTGAAGTCGTTCTTTGAATTGTTAGACACATGATAATTTTAGAGAGAATTATTGTTTAACCGAGTTTCATTAAGTTTTATTTGGTTGTAGTACTTCCAGTAATGATACTTACTCACTGACACTTTGCGGTGAAAATTTAATAACGTGTTCACTGAATTGAAGATTTTGTTGAAACAAATAAGTCTTCGGCTGCCTTGTCTTTGGTCTTATTAAAAATCGAATCTATCAGCTTTAATTACTTTATAAATTCAAAATTTAAGTCGGAATTCAATGTCCGCATCGTACAGTTTCTGAAATAAGATTGCGGATGGATGTAAAAATTAAAGATGATTTTTTGTTTTAGGTTCAATGGTAACAAGTATTCCACTATTGCATTATTAGTAACTACAAGGATTTTTTAGAAATTAGAACGCAACATATAATTAAAAACTAAATTAATCTTGTAAACTTTAGCAACTGAACTGTTTGTTCAACAAATTTTGATGGTAAAGCTGTCTATGATGGCTCTGCCAGTGGAAACAATCATTACTATTTATTTATTTAAAATAGTTGTCGACGTAGATGGTTGTGAACATTCTAGATTAAGTTGGTAGCACCTCAAGTATAGTAATTATTGAAATTCTTCGTTGGTACTTCAATTGTCTTATCAGAAGCATGTTTGTCAGCTTGTGGTGTAATCTTCGTTGTCTTGCATTTGGTTATTTTTATAAATATTTATAATAAGAGCAATGCCGTTTTTAAATGAAAAGGAACGTAGGACAGTTTTGCGGTGTTCCCACAAATTTATAACTTCTGGTTTCTTTTAAATCATAACCTCACACTGATATCTTGTTACTTTTTTGTAACTCAATCTAAAGGCAGGTATGCAAAATCATAGTCTATTCTTGTTGACAACCATTTTGAAATATTGCAATAGAATATTTTTAATAAAAAAAAATCTTAATTTTTTAGTCTATTACTCAATTAAATCATCCGTTCAGTCTATATGTGTAGTCTTAAAGTATCCCGCACCGTGTGATTTCGAGAATTTCAGAGCTTTCAACATAAACATCCAAACTTTCTAGAAAAAAAAAGTAAAACATTTTACAATATAACTTTGGAATTTTAAAGCCGAATGCCCTAAAATTTTGCAAACGTTTTAAAGTTATAGAAAGTATGATAAATTGTTGTGGTGACCGTTCTTGAATTAAAATTTCGAGTTGAAAAAAATTAAGAGTGACGCGAAATCTCATTTGAATAGTTTGGATTTGAAACAAAAAAAAAATTGGTCTAAAGAGTTTAGACAGTACTTCCCTCGCTGTCGGAAACTTGACGACTGCATGCCTATTATGTTTTTTTTTCTCATTACATTTTTGTAGTGGGAATTTAAAAAAAAAATTGTGATGACGTCATCAACATTTTTGCAAGGACACGTATATCAGTTGGGATAGATGTAGTGTAATACTAAGAATAAAATTATTGTATTCCCAAATTTTCGGGAAAATGAATTGGGTCGTTTTGAATATTGATTTCTTATAATCAATAAAATAACGAAACAATTTACTCACGTATACGGCGCCGGTGTGTAATATCTAGAGAGCGGATTTCTGTCGGGCTAGGCAAGGTCAAACTCGGTACGGCTCGCACGGGATGCGAATTCATTGCCGTTGCGGACTGCACTTCGTTTATTTGATATTAGAATAACGTTGTTTCGTTGCACTCTGCTGTTAATTCCCGTTCTCATTTACTTAGCCGTTTGATTAATAAATCGTTAATTATATTTATGGAATCCAGCACGTCCCCCCCTATAATCGTGACGTAGCCCGACAGAAATCCGCTGTCTAGTAATATGAGGGGCAACTGAAAATCGTTTATGTATAAACATTCTTAATTTAAGATGACAAGCGTAACAGCATACGTGAGAGTCAAACAGAGAAACTGTAAACAAAACGACCATCGGTTTTATTGCTTCGACTTCCGCTTATTATATAAAACATTGGATTTTATTTTAATTCTTGACGGTGAAATTCACAATTGGTTGATTATAAACATGTCTATTCCACATTCGCGGAACCTAGTCAACGAACAAAACAAACACACGTCTGTAATGTTAAAATAGATGTAAATAAGCGTGCTACCCTTATGTTTCAACCGAGTTTTTCCTTTAACAAATTTTGTGTCTACCAAATTGGGTTGGTTGGAGTGTAATACTAATAATAAGTGTTGCCTTTAATTTAATCAATAAAATAAATTGACTTCATTAATTTTTTTGAACCACCTCTTAAGAAAATCTAAAAAATATGAATGGAATGATAAATCACAAGTACAAACTCATCATATTTTTTGCATTTTAGATAGGATTTATTCAGCAAAATTTAAGGGTGACGTCATCAATTTTTTTAGGAGGGATGAACAAATACATTTTGAACAAAAGTTTACCATGCTTATAATAACTTTAAAATATTCCCAAGATTTCAAAGCATTCGGTTTTGTAATTCCTGATTAAATCGATAAAATAAATTCACGCCTTCATTAATTTTTTTGAGTCACCCTGCATATGCAAATCCAAAAATATGAATGGAGTGATAGATCACAAGTACAGACTCATCATATTTTGTACATTTTAGATATGATTTATTCCACAAACTTTTGAGCTGACGTCATCAAGTTTTTGTAGGGGATAAGCAAATATTTTTTGACTAAAGATTTATGATGCTCTTTATAGCCTTAAAACATCTGCAACATTTCAAAGCATTCTGGTTAGCAGATTAAAAATTAAATTTCAAAATGTTGTTTTATAATTTTGATTTTTTTTCCAAAAATCTGGACGTTTCGGGTGAAAAGTCGATTCGGAGTTGTAAACTACATGTGTAGGACTATGTTATTTTATACAATTGAAAACCCATTTACTACGTACAATTTTGAAGTGACGTCATCGCATTAGTGGTGGGGATGATTAGACAAATTTTGGTTAGCGTTTTACCATCTACATGATATTCTTAATATAAGTACAAAATTTCACAACAATCGGTCGAGTACTTTCGGAGATTATCTGTCTAATAAAAATCCAGGACGGCAGACGGACAGACGGACGGACAGACAGACGGAAATGGGAGACCTATTTCTTCGTCTTCTAGGGGTCATGAAAGATCGAGAAAACGTAAAAGTAGAGAGTCGGCCGACGGACTCGATTACAATACTTCCTTTGCTTACGCTCGGGAAGTAAAAATAAAAAAATTGGTCTAAAGAGTTTAGACAGTACTTCCCTCGCTGTCGGAAACTTGACGACTGCATGCCTATTGTGTTTTTTTTCTCATTACATTTTTGTAGTGGGAATTTAAAAAAAAATTGCGATGACGTCATCAACATTTTTGCAAGGACACGTATATCAGTTGGGATAGATGTAGTGTAATACTAAGAATAAAATTATTATATTCTCAAATTTTCGGGAAAATGAATTGGGTCGTTTGAATATTGATTTGTAATAATCAATAAAATAACGAAACAATTTACTCACGTATACCTACGTATCAGAGGCAACTGAAAATCGTGTATGTATAAACATTGTTAATTTAAGATGACAGGCGTAACAGCATACGTGAGAGCCAAACACAGAAACTGTAAACAAAACGACCGTCGGTTTTATTGCTTCGACTTCCGCTTATTATATAAAACATTGGGTTTTATTTTAATTCTTGACGGTGAAATTCACAATTGGTTGATTATAAACATGTCTATTTCACATTCGCGGAATCAAGTGAACGCATAAAACAAATGCAGGTCTGTAATGTTAAAGTCGATGTAAATAAGCGTGCTACCCTTATGTTTCAACCGAGTTTTCCCTTTAACAAATTTTGTGTCTACCAAATTGGGTTGGTTGGGGTGTAATACTAATAATAAGTGTTGCCTTTAATTTAATCAATAAAATAAATTGACTTCATTAATTTTTTTGAACCACCTCTTAAGAAAATCTAAAAAATATGAATGGAATGATAAATCACAAGTACAAACTCATCGTATTTTTTGCATTTTAGATAGGATTTATTCAGCAAAATTTAAGGGTGACGTCATCAATTTTTTTAGGAGGGATGAACAAATACATTTTGAACAAAAGTTTACCATGCTTATAATAACTTTAAAATATTCCCAAGATTTCAAAGCATTCGGTTTTGTAATTCCTGATTAAATCGATAAAATAAATTCACGCCTTCATTAATTTTTTTGAGTCACCCTGCATATGCAAATCCAAAAATATGAATGGAATGATAAATCACAAGTACAGACTCATCATATTTTGTACATTTTAGATACGATTTATTCGGAAAACTTTTGAGCTGACGTCATCAGTTTTTTGTAGAAGATAACCAAATATATTTTGACTAAAAATTTATTATGCTCTTTATAACCTTAAAACATCTGCAAGATTTCAAAGCATTCGGTTTTGTAGTTCCTGATTAAATAAATAAAATAAATTTACGCATTCATTAATTTTTTTGAGTCACTCTGTATATGCAAATCCAAAAAATATGAATGGAGTGATAAATGACAAGTACAGGCTCATCATATTTTGTACATTTTAGATATGATTTATTCGGCAAACTTTCGAGCTGACGTCATCAAGTTTTTGGAGGGGATAAGCAAATATATTTTGACTAAACATTTATTATGCTCTTTATGACCTTAAAACATCTGCAAGATTTCAGAGCATTCGGTTTTGTAGTTCCTGATTAAATCAATAAAATATATTTACGCATTCATTAATTTTTTTGAGTCACCCTGTATATGCAAATCCAAAAAATATGAATGGAGTGATAGTTCACAAGTACAGACTCATCATATTTTGTACATTTTAGATATGATTTATTCCACAAACTTTTGAGCTGACGTCATCAAGTTTTTGGAGGGGATAAGCAAATATTTTTTGACTAAAGATTTATGATGCTCTTTATAGCCTTAAAACATCTGCAACATTTCAAAGCATTCTGGTTAGCAGATTAAAAATTAAATTTCAAAATGTTGTTTTATAATTTTGATTTTTTTTCCAAAAATCTGGACGTTTCGGGTGAAAAGTCGATTCAGAGTTGTAAACTACATGTGTAGGACTATGTTATTTTATACAATTGAAAACCCATTTACTATGTACAATTTTGAAGTGACGTCATCGCTTTAGTGGTGGGGATGATTCGACAAATTTTGGTTAGCGTTTTACCATCTACATGATATTCTTAATATAAGTACAAAATTTCACAACAATCGGTCGAGTACTTTCGGAGATTATCTGTCTAATAAAAATCCGTGACAACAGACGGACAGACGGACAGACGGACAGACGGACAGACGGACGGACAGACGGACAGACGGACAGACGGACAGACGGACAGACGGACAGACGGACAGACGGACAGACGGACAGACCGACAGACGGACAGTCAGACGGAAATGGGAGACCTATTTCTTCGTCTTCTAGGGGTCATGAAAGATCGAGAAAACGTAAAAGTAGAGAGTCGGCCGACGGACTCGATTACAATACTTCCTTTGCTTACGCTCGGGAAGTAAAAAATCGTTAAACATAGGCAACCATGTGCACGTTAGCGCTTTTTGGGTAGTTCTAGTTGGTGGTTCTGCCGAAGTTTGTTTAGATATGGCACTTGTTAGGAGATTTCATGAAATTCACTTAGTCAGGACTCGTTTACGTTATAACAATTCTTAATTTTTCACACAAGATTGCTAATAGTTCATTTACAGTAGTTAAAACTAACCTAACGTCGACTGAGGTACGGGGGGGATTAAAAATTTCTCCCTTAGGCAGTTGTTACCATCATATCATCATCACATCACCGAGATATCTTTCTCGCAACGTGGAAAGCTATATCACGGAGATAATTTTCTCACAACGTGGATAATTACATCACTGAGGAGTTTTCCTCCCAACGCCTGATACATTTTGTGTCGTTTCTTTATCATGTGTTTTATCTGGGATAAGGTGGGACAGTCCACGATATAAACTCTCAAAGCTAAACTCTCAAGTAAATTTTTTTTTTTAGTAACCAGTCAGTCCAATCACTTGGATTAAGGGATAATTTAACATAACGTAAATTCTTCGTTTGAATCGTTGATAAAGTGTGGCATAATTTAACATCAGGCAAATTCTTTGTTCTGGCAGCGGCCATGTTGAAAGAGTATTTTCAAACCGAGCATATGTTTGAACTGTAAAATCTTACTGAACAAATTAACAACATTGTGGGACGTGCATTGTACTCCTTTGATTTAGACCATAATTTGTACAGTGCCACACGATTGATCACATTTCTGGGAGACAGATTGCCTGCTATGTTTTTTTGTGTTTGTCTGGGGAATGTAAACGATGGTCCACAATGGAGCTGAATAACTTCACTTTTGAAAATTAACCAATAACTCGAATAGACATAAAATATCAAACTCATGTGGTTTTGTTAGCTTTGCAATTTTTCATCTAATACAATTTTTCTCTATCACACAATTTTTAACTACAGTAATTTTCTTCGTTGTATAATTTAAATTGAACGTAAATTTTCATGCTCTGCAGATTCTAACCTTACGTAATATTTTTGTCTGCACAAGTTTTACTTCATACCAGATCTTTTTGGTTTTATAAATCTTTGCTAGTTTTTTTGTTTTGTAAATATTTTGTTGATTAATGCTACCACCATAAAATTATCTGATGTCCAATCGTAATTTCAAATAAGAATTCTTTGCTGTTGAAAAGTTTCCCGAGAGTGTATGGCGAATTTAAATGTTGTTTATTGGTCTTTCTGAAACTTTAACACTCTTGTCCAGTTTTAGTTTAATATCGGAGTCATAGAAACTGAACATTTAAATGGATTTGAGTTTAAATAACGCAATAATACGTAGCGGAAGCGGAATGCGCGGTTCCTAGTCGAGCTGGCGGGATTTATCGCACGATATGTACAAAAGACCCAATCGCGAATTTGCGACCCTAACAGCCTGCTCGTACGGAATATTCATCATGGAGACGTGCTTTACGGCAGTGCTTGCGATAGATAGAATCACCGTCGTGGGTAGGAGAACAGCCACGACCAAGAGCCCCAAACTCCGCTCATGCTACAAAGCCCCCTATGGGCATTTTGGCTGTGCTCTAGACTGAAATTGATATAGTTCGATCACCACATTCTTATAGCGCTTTGGTGCCGCTGCCGTTGCATAGTTTTTTATTAAAATGTTGTTCTCTTGTTGACTGCCATAATTTTAAATTTGCCGCCACACCTGTAATAACTTGTGTATTTGCATCCAGTTACTTTAATTCAGATTTTTCTTTGTTTTTATTAAATTAGTGATATTGAACTATTTGCATTGATTCAGAACGTTTAATTTGATTTCATTCAAAGTTTTTTTTGTAGCTGAGCATTAAGCGGTGTCTTCAACGGTCACCAGTTACTCGCAGCTTTTTTTTTCTGTCGGTGAAGAAATAAATAAGTTTGTGTTTTATTTGGCGGTACTTTTCCAACCTTGGGGTCCACCATTTGAATCTGGACGCATCCCGCCAAAACGCAATGTAGGGTTTCATTTTGTCAGACGATCACAGCCAAGGCCAAATTTTGAATTTCAAAATTTTTCGCGGGCTTTCAATTTTTTTTTCACGTATCAATTTAAGGCGGGATGTTAGGGTTATCACATTGTCAATAAAAATTTTAAATTCGGTCATGAACTGTGAACGTCTGCAAAACAGATGATGTACGTTGTGTTCTTGAAATGAAAGAATTGCTACCACTGCAAATGGAGAATAGTCAGAGTGGTATAATGAAGCAAAAGTGGAGATGAAAGAGAACTTCTTTTATTAAATCATAAAAAAGCAAACAGGCATTACAAGTCTATAAACAAACATTTAAAATACAAAACAGATTCGCGAAGTCCTTAGCTAAATAAATACACAAGAAAAATACCAACTAAATTCGGAATCGTCCACCCCTCTTCTGCTCCGCGTCTTTGTGTACTTATCCCAATCAACTTTGAATTCTATATTCCCCAAATTTAGAATAACAAAATAAACAATTAAAATTTGAAGGAAGCAAAATTTCGTTACTGTATAATTTGTCGACTTTCATTAGAAAATGAAGAATTTTAAAAGTTATTAATTAAACCAATGAATTCGTAATGTTCCCATTGTCGATTGGATACCTGACATCAGAAAAAAATCAAATACATTTCAAGCAAACGCAACAGACACGTGTTAAATACAGCCAAAATCAATGTAAGGTGGTTTTAACATATATACATTTCGTTTTAAGCCCCCATTTTAAGAGCAAAATATTCAAAATTCAAATTTAGACCAGGCATGTATACCTGCATAATAATACAAAACAAACCCACCCACCAGTTCACCATATTGTTAATGTAACTGACACGGCTTTCAACGTTCCTTTCCTCTACTTAGCAAAATATGGGTGAATAACTATTGTTGAAGGGTGGTGGAAAATTTAAGTGTTTCGACATGTTGGAGGAACATGTTCACCTGATTAGTACGTCCAACTGACGTTTCCCAACAAGTTGGGTGGAGGAATGGAGAACGGATTGAACGTCGGCAACGGTGAAACAGCGGGTGTAGAAACTTGGGTGCTGGAGGACGACCTCTCAGCGTCATCTCGAGGTATACAGGGATTAATGTCAAGCAAATATTTTTGAGCCCTCTGAAGCGTTCTCTCCTTCCGATCAAGTAAGCACCACGGAATCCAGACTGCCCTTGGAAAGAGTTCCATCAAGTCGGACACCATCTTCATTTCTGTGATTGGTAACATAAGTGACCGCATGGTATCAAATTGCTTCACGAAGAAGTCGACCATTCGGAGACTACAGCGGGGGTCAAAGGGTTTCGATGTAATCTCAGTGTACACGTCCCATCGATGTTGTCGCTCGAACAAATCGTCCCAATCTGTGGATCTGTCAGGTAAAGTGGGACGAGGCACTGGGGTCGACACTGTCTGTGTCGAAGGTTCCTCCAGTTGCCTCTGTCCTTCTAACAGGTCCAGGGCGACTTGTTTCCAATCCGTTTCTGAACGATTTTCCGTTTGTTGATGTCCCTTTAGTCCCCCCGTCGCTGTCACTTGCCGCTGCTTGGTTGGTTGCTCCGCAGGTTGTGTCATCACTTCGGCTGTTTTTGGCCTTTTCAGCCTGCGGCGGGGGCCCGCCAGAAGCACGATCCGGAGCTTCTTCACGCTCCAAGAACCGCTAGTACTGCGTAGTTTCTTTCTGTTATTCATGGTGCTCTGACTGTAGGATCACCTATAAATATCAAAAACAAGCATGTATTTGTGCAAAATAAAATGTATTCCTCCTCTGCAGCACGCCAGCATCGTGTGCTGGTCGTGCGGCACCAAATTTTATGACAACCCGAATATTCCGCCAACATTGAGGCATGTGTTGTACATACGTGCAAAATTTTTCATTTGGCTATCACCTATGATTGACAACGAAATTGATTCTTATTGTAAATTAATACTTCACACTATTATTTTAGGTACTACTATGCGTATCATCTAAATTATTTAGCGGGTCAGTTAACTAAAGTGTGTCATGCTTCGTCTTCAGTGAAAAAAAAAACAGTGTAATAGGTCAATTTTAAAACAACTATGTAGGTAAGTACAAAATTTTGGTGTCAGTCTAGGGTTAATTTTTCTTTAGACAAAATCGCTTTAATTCTATAACCACCCTGTTTTATCCAGAAAAAAACAATAAAATTTGTTGAAGTCACTTCACATTCAACATGTTAAAATAGGTATAACTAGAACTTGTATTGTCATATGAATTAGAAAACACACATTATGGTCATAAACATCCAGAAGCGTAAATAGGTACCAGTACGTAGATCCTGACAAGTACCTAACTAATAATAGATAAAACATTACAGTGCAAAAGATTATAAAAGTAACAGAGATCCAGTAGCACACAGAACGATTGATCTTAGACACTATTCCCAGAGGCATGATTTATAACGGTTTTCACTTTGTGCCCACTTTGTACTCCGCAGATTAAAAACACCAGCTACGCTACATGCTAATGCTAGACAAATCACAGAATTTGGATACATACTTACTACGAATTCTGGAGATATACAATGAAACAAGGATGATTATATATTTCAACTCTACAAGTCTACAAGTTCATCCAAACAAAGTGAGTCATCATCAGCAGTATCACCATCAGCTGGCAAGTAGAATTCGACCAGTGGCGGAACATTAAGTTTAATAAAGTGGGAGTATTCATGGACAGTGATATGTGATAAATACACTAAAGTGAATATATGCTAATGCACACATTATTATGGTGATTTTTTTGGCAGTCAGAGAAAAAAGAAGACGATTCAATTCAACAATAAAGAAACGTGGAACGAGTAGCGTTAATAATGGTTCTAGACACTAACTTCTCTTTACACTACTACAGCTACGTACAACCATGCCGCGGTGCTCCCACCAGTGCCCACTATCTCTATACTGTGCCGGTTGGCCAGTGTTGGGCAGTATCTAGATACTTGTATCTAAATAAAGTATCTAGATACATTTTTGGGTATCTAGTATCTGTATCTAAATAAAATCGAATTTAAGCACAAAATATCTGTATCTAGATACAAAATTAATGGCGCAGATACAGATACATTTTTTTATTTCACTTTTTTTTCAGTAGTTATTAGTTAAGTTATACTAGTAGTAATTTTTGATACTTCATGGTCATATAAACAAAAATAGAGGTAAGAGGTCCACTAATAGTGTTCTGTCACGGAAATTTTCATATTTTAAATATGTACCATCATTTCCTACATTGTAGCCTTCAGTACTTCTTTAAATATAATCCTGAGGGGCAATAAATCTAAGCCACGGTAAGATGGTATTTTAAAAACCATAAACTACAATTCATTATTCACTGCGTTTTACGCTTATCGAGGCAATGCATTTTATCTGTGTACCTGAGCAACCCGGGTCCGGTAGGCCCGCTGGTTGTATTTGTGTTATTAAATAAGAGTAATTTTAATAGTAAAAATATTTGTTTAAGGTATGTTATTATTTTTAGAAAATAATAATTGCGTGTTACATAATGAATAATTTTTTCAATTAGCACAAATTAGTTCTGTAATCGACTAATCGAATGTTCAATACATACATTTCTCTGACATAAATCGCATATTTGTTACGGTTTTATATCTTTATTTTTCAGACAAATGTAGCATCTTTTCTTGTTGCCACATGTGTCATTTCTTCACTTTTTCATTGTTGGATCTAACGCGAGGCGGGCTTGGCAGGTCCGTTTTGCCCTAGAATGTGCCGATTATGTTTAAGTGTAAATCTTGGGCAATAAAATTAAAATTTTTACAACCCTCGGCAGAATAATTTATCGTGATATATTCTCAGAAATCGTGAAATGAGATTGAAATAAAATGAGTTTCAAGAAAAATCTGAAAATTTAAAGTTGCACTGTAATGATTCCGGCCTGCCAGGCAGCCTTTGATCCATAAGGGGTTTAAATACCTTTCTAAGAAATTGTACTTATTTTGCCTTAAACGGAACCAGCAATTCTTTGTAAAATGTGTATATAATTGCCGCATCGAGATAGACGATTACCGGACATGGTCATAAAAACATCGTAAGCCGATATTGAAGAATAATAATTTATGACATCAATATGAATTTTAATGCTGGAGATATTTAATTATTAGATATACTCAAACACAATTTGGACATTGTAGTGTGGGAATAAAAACAAAAAAAATATTCTTTTTAAGCGTACGTAATAAATATTGCACAATTTGCGACACATCAAACAGCGAAGCGATGGCCTATTTGCAGAAAAAAAGAAAAGATTTTTCAGTCTTGAATAACTATGCTACAGTAAAATCTTTATTTTTTAAATTTAATACCACAATCCCTTCTTCTGCACCTGTGGAACTGGTGTTTAGTAGCAGAAACCAAATTCTGACACCAAGAAGAAATAATTTAGGTGACAATACGTTCGAAATGTTTTTAATTTTAAAAAATTCATTAAACAATACATAAAAAAATACATAAACATGTTTTCAGTTATTTTATTCGCTAAACCTTCAAAAAGTATGTTTTCTTGTATCTGTATCTAGATACATTTCGAAAAAATCGAAAACAATCTGTATTTAAATACTTTTATCTTTCATATATCTATATCTGTATATAGATACTTTTAAAAGTATCTGTCCCTAACACTGTGTCGGCTGCTTCAAGTTTTATTTCGTAGGTATACTCCCCCCCCACGTGAAAAACAGAGCTGACTCTCCCCCAGTCCCCCAGTAGAGTTTCCTTTACCAGCAGGACACCTTCCAAAATTCCCCACGTTGGCAGAATCCAGTATTGCGAATAAACAGTCATATGAGTGCAGGGAAAATTATCACTCTGGACTTGTCCCGATCTTCGCTCTCATCACCCGAATTTAACAAAGCAAAATTAGGTAATGAATTAATACTACGTCGTGAATCGAATCCCCCTTCTAAAAGTGGAGTCATAGAACACAAAACATGACACAAAATCAGCAGAAAATCCCCTTTCCTCCTTTTAAAATACTACTTATTTCACTTGATTAAAGTTAGGTGTCATACAAGAAAGATAAAATTTATAATTTCTAGAGAGCGTGTAGAATAAAATAACAATGTTCATGACTGTTAAACTGTGTTAGAAACAGAAATGTTTAAAAATCCTAACATGAACGGTGAATTTACACCCCGTGTTTACATGATGATCAAAAATTCACATTTCCGATTAGAAGACATTAATAACTAATGTTTGTGGGGAAAACTGTGGCGTCGCCGTCCGGTACGATTAAATTTCGTTTAAACAAAGGCTATTTTATGAAACTACCAAATCAAAATAACCTAGATAAATTTAACGCTTACCGCGTGGTTGCATCTACACCAAACCAAACAACCAGTGGTGCCTGAACCCTGAACCAGACAAGTCTGTTTTACTACCACCCCCTTAATACATTCCTACCCACAAAATCGCTAAACGAGCGACTACCAGCAAGACAATAGAGTTCAACATGGTTGCCTATGTTCAACGATTTTATTAATTCATTTCTCAAATTCAAATTATCCAAATGCGACTTCGCGCTAGTTATAAATGTTTTTTTTTCTTTTACAAATACAAATTCCGTATACAATGCAAGTTAAGTATTATTACTAACATAACACTGTGTACAACCGATTTCGAACTTAAGATGGCATTATGGTTGAAATGTTTTGTTTAGTAGTCCTAATATTTTGTAGTATACGTATGATAAACACAGCTTCTGCTTACATGAGGTTCTAATGGAGAAGTCCTTAGATCAAACAATATTTTTATTTTTAGAAGAGTGATATAATTAATGTTGCTGCTGGGGAGCCAAACCTTTAATAGATTGTTATTACCAGTACACAAATAAATGTATATGTGTAAAAATCATTACAAAAAAATATGCATAAAATTTACGACTGCTTTTTTAGATTAAAATGAACATTCATATGGTAAAATGTCTGATTTTCAGCAGTTATATTTGGAATCAGAGGTTGAACTGGTAAAATAAAAAAAAATCCATAATGTTTAATCAAAAGTGCAGAAGATGCGCCAAACACATAACAATCTATGCTAGACAATGTTAAATACGACAATTTAATAGGTCTTTCAACATCGAATATGTTAAATAGATGTGTAAAATGTTTGATTTTTTCGTTAAAAAATGCATATACTAATATGTACTTAATTGTCGTTGTTCAATTTCGTTCTAGATATTCCACTTGCTTTCATAGGTGTATTGTGGTTTGCGTTGTGCCGATTCCAATATAGCGCTTTGTCCGGCACCAAAGATATTGAATATAAGTGTAGATGGAGAATGCCCTATATCTTTCATATATCACAGTGTGACCAACATCTCCTTGGTGAGAGGAGTGAAGCGCGAGAGGTAGTACCTACTACCATTATTATTAGATTTCGCGAAGAACTGTCAATTTTGTTGTACGTACCTTTCAATAACACCCTGTACACAGAAATGTTTTCACAAATTGTATTTTATTGTAACTGTTTATATTACTGTAAGAAACCGTTATCGTAGTAAGTAACAACTACTTCGTCTTACCTGATTCTATTTTATCTTTGATAAAAATTTCTAAATACGTTCCTTCACCTCTTCTCTTGGTAGGTAGCAACCGGTAAACCCGATGACCGTTGGGTTTTACACAAAAGATTAGATTCTATGCCATTATAATCTTATACTGATAACTGCCCCATTCATAATATCCAAACAACAGCGAAATCTCGTGCAAGGCAAAGCTTTCTGCTTTCTGGTGCCAGGGGGTAATCGCTAATCTCAAAACGAATCGAAATAATTTTTTTACCAGGGTAATTAATGTTCGGAAACGACAGAAGAAATAGTTTTTCCTCGCAGAATAGTAAAATGCCAGTGTAAAAGTCCATGTATATATACAGGGTGTTAGGGAATGCTTGCAACAAAATTTGAAGGTAGGCTCCTGAAGAAGAGAACAACAAAAAATGCTAGTAACACTTTTTTCAAAGGTTAATAGTTTTTTCTAAAAAGCGTATCGAAAAATCAGTCCCCACATTTTGAGAACTGCCGACGTTGTCTTTTTTTTTCTAAGGTAGTTGTGAAAATTCTGGAACTAAGATGATTATTTCCTTAGAAACGATTAAATCTAATTTGTCAAAAATTGACAAAAATGTCACATTTACATCAATACAATAAACACCTTTGAGTTTTAAAATGTTTGATTCGGACGTTTAACGAAATAGACGCGGTTCCGACACGCTAATAAGGGTACCAACGTGGTTGTTAACGGAAATTTCAGAAAACATCACAAACGGCCTCTGAAAACCTGCAGTGATACCAGAAAGAGGGGGTTTTGCGTTTTTCCCCTGAAAAAAATCCCGAAGGAAAACACTAGAAAGATTAGGAAAATCTATCTTTCAGCAGTGTGGTAAATGAAATGTTAAAATAGTTCGTCAACTCAAGCGCAATAGCGCTCCCAGTTGATCTAATACTACGGCAAAAAGGGACAACTCATGGCACCCAACCTCGTGATAAAACTTTTCATCCTCCTCACTACCCTTCGAATTGATTAGTACAGACCCCTGTTGTTCGATCTTGAAAAAAGCGGCTATGGTTAACTGT